TAAACATATACATATATAGACAGTTAAGATAGTTATATTACTTCTATTAGTTCATTGAAAATAAATGTCTGTGCTTATACTGTTTGATCAATTTTTCATGCCTATATCTTATAATCTGAGCACTTTGAAGATAACAATATGCAATGTATTAACATTGTTACTCTCCTAATATTTTGTTTTGAAATTTTGTGTCATGTTTTTATTGTTTTTTCTCTTTAAATTAAAAAAAAAAGAAATGCTTTGAAACTGAACACTGATCTCACAGAACATAAAGACTGCAATAATTAGGATAAACTTAGACTTCCTACTGTGGAATCTAATGTATCAATGACAACAAGCATTTGGCTACTACAGGCAACAAAAGCCAGGAACTTCACTTACATAACACTATATGATCAAAAAGAGGCATACAGGCAGGAATATGCTGCTGGGACTTATTGCTAGGCTTCTGAACCTATGTAAGAATTAACTGAAAGGAAAGGAAGGGAATGAGGAAGACAAGTTTGGCATAGATTATGTCTGAGGAGGTGAAGGGAGGCAATCAGAAGAGAGACCACAGGAAGCCTGTCAGGTGATACTACTGTGGGAAAAGAAACAGGTCTTTGAAAGTTGGTTGAGGGAAACAATGACTCCTAGATCTGTAATTCCAGCTCAGACCCCTCTCTGGAATAACAAAAGCAAATTTCCAAGTGCATGTTGTGTGATGTGGTGAAACTCTGGCCAAAGCAGTGATGAAGTGAATGTGATAAGGAAGGGACCTTGGACTGGATATGGTGGCACATGTGTGTGATTCCAGCACTCAGGAAGCTGAGACAGGAGGATTGCCAAGAGTTTGAGATCAGGCTGCATAGTGAGTTCAAGGCCAGCCTGAACAGCATAGTCAGTGCTGGGGATGCCGTGCTTGGGGATAAGGCTTTGTCTGGATGACATCTGTAGGTTGTGGTATTCACAACAGCACCACTGACTGAAAGTGCTGCAACTAAATTTTATCTGCCATTCTAATCCCACCTTCCCTTTATGCTCAGGTTCTCTGACAAGCACCAGGCCTGTGTGGCACTCTGACAACTTCTCTTGCCTCTTCCTGCTCTGTCCTTTCCTCTTTCTTGCTGCAGAGCCATCTTTCATGCCCAATAACCTGTTAGCCTCTAAATTTTTGTAGGACTCAACCTAGCAAGTGTGACCCCAGGAGTGGTCTGAGAAGAGGAAATAATCTGCCTTTCAGAACCAACTCACTCATCAAATGAATGACAAAGAGTATGAAATCCTGAGTGCTGCATAGGATATGGATAATCTCCAGCATGAGCTGACCTCACAATTGATTGCTCCAGGTTTCACTCTTATTTACCTAGGCAGCCATCCCAGGGGAAGGTCTTGATCTTGTGGGTGAGATGATTCAGCCTACAGCAGGGAATGGAGGGGAGAAACTCCACAACAGATGTCAGAGACAACCAATGATTGCTGTTACATTGTGGCCCTGCAGAGAGATGATGAGAAACAAAGGGACATTGCCACACATGTTAGGGCAAAGTGAAAGACCCAGAAGGCCACCTGGGTGGCTTACAAGGAGTCCTGTACCTCCTACAGAAGGTGAAGAGATAAAACTGAGGAACATCAGGTCAACATGATTTCACAGTCAGAGGTGATGAATCCCAAGGACATTTATGCCCCCAACCAACATAGGCCTGCATGATATGCAGGTTGGAGCCCTGTCTAGAGCCACTTCAAAGGCTGTAGAGGAGATAGGGAAAGATGGGGATGGATGGATGTCCCTGAGGACACTGGTTTCCCAAACTACACATGTCCTGAAACCTTGGACTTGCAAGGCACACTTGCTTCCCTAGCAGGGGCCAGCAGAAGCCTTGGGCTAGTAGACAGTAGTGTCCCCTTCCCATAAAGCCTCATATCTCTCCCTTGGGACCACCCTTTCTCTTTTCCAAGATTTCACTGGGTAAAGCAGAGACTCGTAAAAAAAAATAGAGTATATGCCAAAGACATTGCAAGAAAGACTGATCCTGTACTTGTAAGAGCCACAGCATAGCCCAGGGATTGGATGTTGAGGGTGCTGGATTGAGGGGGATAGAATACAAGACAGTACAAGTGAGTTTTACTGAATGTATGTTGGGATATGTGGTACTGGGGATCAAACTCATGACTGTGCGCTTGCAAGGCATGAAGGCGCTTATGCCACTGAGCTAAATCCCCAGCCTCCATAAAGAACATTTCCTAATTTTAACTAGCGTCCCTTTTTCTTTTTCTTTCTTTCTTCTTCTTCTTCTTTTTTTTTTTTTTACCGGAGATCAAACTCACTACCTCGTGCTTGCAAGGCAGGCATTTATGCCACTGGGCTAAATCCCTAGTCCACTTTGAGAAAGTGATAGCCCACATGGAGTAAAGTGGCACAGCCTTGGTCCTTCCTCCTGCCCCCAAGTGGATCACTGTCAGTGATATACTTGGCAGTCGGAGTAGTTAGCTCCCAAGAACCTTGGGTCATTGGTCTGAACAGTAGGAGATACTGTGATGGTGAAGACTATGTGAAACTTCTAACACTGGATCCCAGCCCAGTTCAAGAAATTAAGTCAAAATCAACACTGGATAAGGAGATCCTTGGAATGGGTAGAGATTTGTGCCTCCATAAAAGACCTATAGGACACAGAGGAAGATGAGATAGGAGAATTGCAGGCATAAGTAGACTGAAGCTTGTGAAAGTTCTAGGAATCTCCATATGAAATAGAGAAGGAGAAAGGCAGTGAAAATGAGGAGAGGAACATGGTCTGCTTCAACTGGATGAATCAGTAATGCTTAAGACATGCAATGGAGACAAGAGATTTCACTGTATCTTTTAGAATCCCAGTTGTCATGTCTGAAATAATACAGCATGTCAGTAAATCACTTTGGGGAGTAGGAGAAAGTGGTTTCTAGACACAAGCAGTGCTTGCTGAGGGCTTGCTGAATATAGATAATTGCAGATTTATAGTGCACACAATTTGCCCTGCTTTGTAACCTTCCCCAGCAAGGAAGGTATCACAGGTGCAAATCCAAAGAAATTGGGGCTTTGACAACCCCCTGGAAAGGCATGAAGACTCTTGCTCACATCTTCCAGGCCTAGGTACCAACCAGAGGAGGATTCAAAACAGAGAGGCAAGAAAAGACAAGTGAGTATGAGTGGGGAAGTGAGGAGTGGAAGTGAGGAAAGCAACTGTGAAATTAAGGCAAAATTGCTGAGGTAGGGTTGAGTGGTAAGCAAGGCAAAGTCTAGTTCTCTAGGGCCTAATACAAACCAAGGAAGGGACACTCCCCAGATGTTGGAACTGCTTAGCACAGAGGAGCTGGAAACTGATAGTCTCAAGAAAATATGACAGAAACTGGGCAGTTCATTACTGTAAGGCCTTACTTCCATGTCCATTCTGGCCCTTTACAACATACCTTATAAACACCTAAGCATAAAGTCAAATAACCCATAGGACTGGTTTGAATTTTTTAATTTACAAATGTGCGTCCAAATTCATGCACATTTCTGTGACTTCACATAGGCAGTCATAAGCATGCTTTTTTTAATTTTAAAGAGGAAAAAACAGTAAAAATTCAAAATAAGATAGTAGGAGAATAACAATGGTCAATACATTGCATATTGTTATCTTTAGTTACTCAGAGCACAAGATATAGGCATTTAATTGTCCAAACATTATTAGCACAAACCTGAGCATGCATTGACTCCCCTGGCTCCCTCTGGACAGTGTCCTTTTAATCTACTGGATGCACAGAGTACATTGTATTCTTACATTCCCTTACTGAAGGAATTGTGTCCTTCCTTCATCAATATTCCTTTGCCTATGTCCTCACAATAGTATTACCACTGTTTTTCTAGAAGTTATACATGGCAATGATTATACCTCTCTGAGTCTGTTTCCTCAATGTTAGAAAAGGTGGTGATAGTAGTGAATCAAATCTAGAACTGTGGAGTTAATAGTTATCTCTAGTGCCTAAAAAGGGGCCAGAGACATAGTAAATGTTACCTAATACGCATTCAGTGGGATTCTGCTAAATGGCTCCCACCCCAAATGGTGATCCTCCACATACACCCCCAGCAGAGGTAAAAAGCACCAGTAGCTTCATAAGTCCTCCCACACCTGGAATACATAAGCTTTTTTATTGTTGCAAACCTGGTATGTGAAAACTGGTTGATTATTTTAGTTGGCATGTACAGGATCAATGGTAGTGGGCACATATTGGCGTGTCCAAGATGGTGGGGATCCCTGCTTCTCTGAACTGATTCTGTGAGAGGGTGGGATGGGGCCTGGGAGAGATGGGCAAACTCCGACCCACCAGTAAACACCATGGGCACACAGCCACATGGTGGTTTCACTGCCTCTGGTAAAGCAGCACAACTGGCAAATCACAAAATAGCTGCTATATGGCCCTTGACGGAAAAAGTACAGGGACCATGGATCATACACTATGGGCTTCCTGTTGGGCCAGTGGTCTTGCTGCAGGAAAAAGGCTCTCAAATCTTTTCTGTGCTGGGTGGTTCACATCCATCATTACACCAAATCCTCACAAGACCCTGAACTATGTTGTCTTATTTCCTCTACATTACAGATGGGGAGCTGAGGCCCAGAGGTGAAGTTCACATTGAAAAGCAGGTGCCCAGTCCGAGGTAGAGACAGGAAGATGGCAACCAGCCCCTGACGACAGAATGCCAGCTTGTAGCCACCAAGCAGAACCCACACTAAAGTGGGAAAGAAGAGTCACCACTGTTGGATACAGCCTGGAGGGCAGTCCGCAGGGGTGGCCCCGTGAGGGGCCTGTGGGTCCGTGAGTTGCTGAGGGAGAACCAATGAGAAGGCTGCTCATTGGCAACCAAATCTCGCGAGGCATCGCGGAATTTCAGGCGGCCCTCCTGTGCCACACGTGCTGGTAACTGGTGACGGTCCGCCCGGAGGCCTATACACTCAGTGTCGCAACGACCGTTACCCCTCTAACAGGCCTCCCACTCTGGCAGCATGAGCTCTCCCAGCAATGTGTCCTCCCAGGGAGCCGGTTTTGGCCTGGAGGACAGGGAGCACACCGAGTTCAACAGGGAAAACTCCATAACCCAGCGGGCACAGGACCTAACCCTTGACTTGGGGCCTCCCCAGAGCGGTGAGGGTGAGGGTAGCAGCTCAGACCACAGGGGTGAACGTGACTCCAACCTCCTGGACCACAACTTCTATGAGCTCAACCCAGAGTCCGAAGAGGAAGTGACAGTGGGGAGAAGGGAAGTGCTCTGGGGCTGTGAAGGCCGGCCTGGTTCCCCGGCTGATGAGGAAGAGGACACTGCCCTGGACTTTGTACCCCACCTCAACATCGAGTGTGCGTCCATGGTGCAGCAGATGTCCAATCTGGAGGTCCAGGGTACCCGCAGATACCCATCCCAGTCCCTGGCCCTATCTTCAGATAGCCATGCTTCGAGGGTCTCCGCCATGTGGGTGGACACAGAATCTGGCCCCAGCCAGAGAACAGTACTGGTCCCGAGCTGCGTAGAAGGGCAGTGGGACTCCGGCGCTCCTCTTCACACCAGTGGGCACGAGGGAGGCCAGCCCTGGAGAGGCCTTAAGAGCAGCACCAAAAGCAGGATGACAGTCAGCGGGGCTGCCCGGCGGCCCTCTTCTGACTCCGACCCAGAGTCCAAGTCTTCAGATGAGTTTAATGAGATACAGCCCATGAGGGTGAACATTTCCCGCAAGGGAAAAGGCCAGGCCAGGTCCAGCTTCCCCAAGGAACCAGCAGATGCAGCCAGACACTTGAATATCCGTGCCCAGGCGAGTGTTCCTCACTTGCGGGGCTCTGTGATGACTTTTGCTCCCCGAAGACTTACCTCAGCCATGGGAAAGCAGCCCTCAGGAGAGCTGGATGCCTCTTCCTCTAAGAAAATGCAAAATGTGGTCTGGGCCAAGGGAGAGGGCAGGCCCAGCTACCCAGGAGCAAGTGCTATTGCAGGGGTCCTGCCCAGGGCTACAATGAGGAAGAAGGAGGCCCAAGAGAAGAAATCCCTGGGTAGTGGCTCAAGAGTCATCCTTGGGAGAGCCTTCCCCTCCTGGGGACAGAGATTCAGAGCTGCTCCCCTGGAACCATCCACCTTCCCACCAATCTCGGGCGTTCCGCTACTTGGAAAGTCCAAGGGATTTTCCTTGCTGCCCTCGGGATCCAAGTCATCCAAGCAGGGGGCCACTGGGAAGAGGTCCTCAGCCAGGAGAGCAAGGGAGTCCCAGCCTGTGGCTGGAGAAGATAAAGGCCCAAATGGTGATCCAATCCTACAGGCTCAAGTGAGTAGGCCACCCTCCTGCCCCCATCCCCAGGCTATACAGCTTTGCCCCAGCTCCCTCTACCTCATGCTCAGGAGTTATCTTTGGGGTGCCAAATGAGGGATACTTGTAGTCTTGTCAGGCATAAAGGGAGTACCTGCTGAGTGCCTGGCACTGTTGGATACACTTTGTGCATTTCCTGCCTCCTCCCTTCTTCAGACAGGGGCTAGGAAAGGAAGCAAAGCTGGTGTTGATTGGGATTGCCAACTGTTCAGAGTTTGGGATGCCCAGCTTCGGTGTCCTGTTGAGTCTCACTGACCTTCATATTCCTCCCTCCCAGTTCTTCCCAAAGCCTGCCTTGCAAAGGGCCTGGCTTTCTGGATACCCCCACACTTTCCTGGTTCAGCTCTGCCTCCAGGCCTGGGGCAAAGAGAGAAGGTTCTGATGAGGTGAACATGTGAATTCCCCTCCTGTTCTCCACCTGATCCCAGCCACTTCACATACTCAGTGAGAAATTTTTGTGTTAGCTTCCAACACACAGGCCAGGGCCACGTTGCCTGAACATGCATCATGGAGAATTTTTCAGTGGTGATGCTGACACCAGAGCCGCCGAAGTTCCAGCAGCCTCCCAGCCCTTGACTGTGAGCCAGGGAGGCCTCCCACCCAGAGGTCCTGTACTCTCTGGTGAGTCCTGTGGGTTTGATACACTACAAGGAGAGGGGAGGGGGTACCCAGCTTCAGAAACCTCTGCCTCCTATACTTCGGAGGACTCAGCATCTCTCTCAGGCGTCTCTGCCTACCCATGTGGCACAGGTGGAGCTGCCTCAGGCCACATGGTCCTTCTTACAGAGTTTGTGCAGTGATTTGCCCTCAACTCCAAGGCAAGTGCAGAAATTGATTTTCAGTGAAATAGAGCCTTTTCTGTCAGGTCTTGTCTTGCTGCATTGCTCCTCCCAGAGCCTAAATGTAGTTGCAGCTCTGGCAGCTGCCAACCCAGAGTCACAGTACTAAGAGGCCACAGTGGCAGCTGAACTGACACTGGGAGGCAGTGAAAGCAGGCCCTAGATAGTGGAGCTGCAATTTACTGCCAGCAGAGGGGGCTGCTGCTGCCTCATTGTAAATCCCATGAGACCCTATCAGCCTCTATCCCAGGCTACGGAGCTGGATTTTGTGTTCTCTTTCAGGTGACCAGGAACCAACTGTGCATGTTCCAATTCTGGAAAGGCAGCAGCCGCCCTTTGGAGCACAAGGCTGTCCCCGGGTAATGCTTTCTCCAGCAGACCCCAGCTAGATGGTGGGCTTCAAGTCCAGGTTGAATTGGCTAGGGTGTCCCTTATATTCTGGTGAGTTTAAAGAGTGCACTGCTCTTCTGGTCCATACTGCACTTCTCTGAGACAGGACACTTCTTTCCCCTGGAGGATGCAGAGCACATCTCCTCACAGGGCAGTGGGATATGTGGGTATGTAAGGACTAGAGGTGTGTGGGAGGATGAGGAGAGAAGGGGCCAGAATATTACCCATCATTTCTCTTTCTCCACTGTCTGCTGGACTAGTGCCTTGTGCTCCAGAAAGAAATAGATGACCTCAGAGAGCAACTAGGTACTGTATCACAAACCCCAAGCTGGGGCAGGGGTGGGAACAGGGGTGAGAGTGGAGGCAGAGACAGATGTCAGCATCTTGGGGCAGGTGCCCCGCGTGGGGCTGGGCTGTGAGTACAGACTGCATCACAGGACAGATATTCTTGTGGGAGTGGGGGTGCATTGAGTGGGCCTACTACTGCAGCCTGCCCTTCAACTGCTGGGGTGTGGGCGCAGAGCAGTATACTCTTCCCCCACACCATGTATGCTTTGCTAACACAAGCAGACCACAGAGCATTTCCCTTTAAGTGCTGCTTAGTGCAGCTTGCATGGTGTTTATTATTGTATGCATGTTTGCCTTCAACAAGTTCTGGAGGGATTTGCCTTGCCTTAAAACTTGTGAGCTCTGGCTGGCTTTGCTGTCTTGAAAGCATTTCCACATTGCATGCAGGTGATGGGTAGAGGAGTCAGCCCCAGGGTGATTTGGACAGGGGCTGGAGAGCTGTCAGGGTGCAGGGACAGCAAGGGGGTGAGTTCCTGTATCCATGTCTGGAGCAGTCAATTATGTTTCTCTGTTTCAGCGGTCCTGCAGTCCCTCACTGATAAGTTCCAGACCCTTTGAAGTGAGTGTTATGCCTGTCACACTGCTTCTCATGTCCCAGCTGTTTGGGAAGATGGGAGCTGGCCCTGACTCTGCTGTGCTTAACAGATTGAAACCAGCTTCTTCACAGAAGACCAACAGCTGATACCTGTAGAGTCCAGGAGCTGAGGCCAAGCTATGTCCTTCCCCTCCTTCAGCCAGGGCCTTCTCTCTGTCCCACTTTTGCCCCCTGCTCACCCCAGTTTACAGCAGTGACAAATTAAAGTACCTGTCATGTTCAGTGATCTGCCCTCTCTCTTTGGGATGGGGCCTGAAGGTGGGTCAGAAGGTGAGAGCTGCCCTCATTCAGAGCAGATAAAGTGCAGTACCCAGTCTCCTGTGGTGGGCCAGCTCCTTAAGGTTGAGGGGCTGCCTCTGAGCAGAAACCCTGGGCTCAGGTTTCCCTTTCCCATGGTGCTCTGCACCCAGATCCTGTGTGGGCAGGGCCTGCCACAGGAGCATTTCCTACCTCCCCTCTTCAAACTCTCTCCTAGCATCCTTCTCTCTCCATTCCAATATGCACCAGGAGTCCCCACCTTTGGCAGGAAATAATGGGTCCCTCCTGGGGCTGCACTATCTGCTGCCTTTCCTCCTTTGGCTCACAGACCTGCTCCCTCCCTGTCGCTCTCCCTTACTGTTCCTCAGCATCTTTTTTTCCCCTCGGCATCTTTGATGTCTCCCCTGACTTTCCTCTGGTGGCCTCTCCTGAGACTGTTTTCAGCCAGTGTTACACATTACCTCATGTTTCTGATTCTGGGGCTCAGTCCTCTTTCACACTCTATAGCTCCCCCTGGTGGCACCACACACAGGGATATGTCTGTCGCATTGCCTGTCTTCTGAGTTCCAGTTTAACCCTCACCTTTGAAACTCAGTTTCCAAACCCTGTCAGTTTCCCCTCCTTCCTTTCTGTAGAAGATTAGAGGTAGAGGTCACATGCCAACGGGTGGCAGAGCAGAAAAAAGGCCAGGGAAATAGGAGAGAAAAGCAGGAGTTTCATCTCTGGATTGGAGGAGGGGCCCTTGAGTGTGTGCTAGCACTTCTGAGTGAATCTGGTCAGACTGCCTACCAGCAGCCATAATGGATCATCTGAGGCCATAAATTCTGCATCCTTTTATAGCCAGCCAACCAACCCTTTAGTGGGGTCGGTCCCCTTGCCCTCATTTTTAAAAGGCCCATCAGTTCCTAAAGCAAAGGGACATGATCAGTATGTACATGCATGCCTGGTCCTTAGCAGGTACCATCCAAACATCCCTGGTACACATTTTCTGAGAAGAGATATGTGCATGTCCCCTCTCCATCTTCCACACTGTGTGCTGACTTACCCCTGGGCTACTGAGAGCCAGTTAGAAAGGGCACAGTTAGGATGTCAAGGGACTTCCAATGGATAGTGGGTCAGGCTACGAACCCTATTCCCTCTATTCTCACCTTCTCTCATCTGGGATTTATGAGGTGAACTCAGGAAGACAGGTGGTAGGACAATCACAGACCTCAGCTGGAAAGGATTTCCAGTGGGGATATGAGCCGTCCACTTCAAATCCCAACTTGAGAAGGTGAGCTGGATTCCTTAGGCTGTATCTGTGACCCTGACCTGAGTTGTTCTCTTAGAGTGGTAACAGAGGGCTGGTGTCTTGAGTGAAAAAGCTACAGACTGCAGCTGGGATTTCTGTCACCCCAGACACCTGAGCAGTTTTCAACTAGGATGAATTTCACAGCAGGCACTATCCTAGGAGGTTCTGGGGACATGGTCACCAGGGGTTAGCATGTTGAGGAAGCCAGGCAGGGCAGCAGTACAATCCCCTGGCAACTAGCTTTGCCAGCCCTGCTTGTGCCCTCGGAATATAGTCTCCCAAGTCTGTATTCAGACTTAACAACTGTGTCATAACTCTGAGCCCTGTGCTGGGCCCCACTGCATCCCTCCCCCAGACTTTTTCTTAAGCCTCTCATCCCAGCCAGGAGGATGAGCTGGATTTCAGACCCCAAGTCTCATCCTGTCTCCTACTGCTGAGTCCAGAGCAAGCGCTGGAACTGTGCTGAACCATGTGTGCCCACCCTGGATGTAGCCACTGTGGTGTCCTGAGCCAAATCCCACCTTCACTGGGAAGGCAACCCAACATGTTCCTTCCCAAACTCAAGCTTTCAATCTGTGGATGGAAAAGATGATCTCAGACTCCCCCCAGGGCTAAAGGAATGCAGGCTGCCAAGCCAGCCAAGGAGAAGCAGTCAGGGCGGTCCTCCCTGGCTGGAGGAAAGCCCAGCACTTGACACACCAGGGTGTGAGGTGACATCACACTGTGAAAGATGTCCTGGTGTGTCCCAGCCATGGATTCTATCCTCGCTGTAGCAACCTCCCCAGGTGATCTTGGATCACCTCCTGCCTGTGTGTCCTCGTCTCTAAGAAGTCCTCTCCCCATCCACATTTCCTCAATATTCATTTCCTCTAAACATGAGGCAAATGATCCCATCCCGAGGTCCCATTAAGTGTATCATGGTAGTGAAAGTGGCCGTCTGAACCATTCCTGTGATATTTAAGAGTACATGGGACCACAGCACACAGTGGTACAGGGCACCTGTCCTGGTAACCACCTCTAGGAGTAAGAAACACAATCCTGATAGCCTCAGAACTCTCCTGCATGGCTCAGACCAGTCTACCCTCACAGGCCTCTAGGATTCACATGACTTTTCCAAGCAAAACTCACTGATGCTTAAATGATATTTAATTTTTTTATTTTAAAGAGATTAAGACAAAAGAGGACATAACAAAGCATATCAGAACAGAACAATTTGAGCAACACAGTATTTCACCACAAGACAACCTGTAATAAACAGTAGCTACCATAATGTCTCTTTCTTTCAAATACGTTAGCATACCTTCATATACAATAGTATAAAACATAACAAAATAGTAGAAAACCATTCAAGAGAATGAAAGTATTACAGGGCATTCAGAACCAAATAACAGAAAATGAACAATAACTACTATATTACCTCATTTTCATTGAAAACTTTATACTATCACACATAATAAAATCCAATAAGATACAAGATGATAGAACCAAAGGAAGCAGAACAACAAAAGCATGGTAAGACTTCAAAGCAAGATGATATTAAATCAGCACTGGCTATTATAATGTCTTATTTTCTTCAAAATAGCTGTTCATACCATCACAGTTAATAAAATCAAACAAATCAGGATAAAAAAAAACTCCAACTAATGAATGAAAACATCATAAGGCTTCAAAGCAATGAAATGGGAAATCATGATTACCATAAACTCTTATGTACTCTGACCATTTCTTACACTAGAGAGATTATACAGTATTTATACATGTGAGTTTGATTTATTTTGTATGGTCTCAAGCTGCGTCAATTTATTTATAAATATCTCAATGTGATCATTCTTCATAGATGAGTAGTACTCCAATGTACAAAAATAACAGAACTTTTTATTCATTCCTCAGTTGCTGGACACTTAGGTTGTTTCCAAGACTTGGCGGTTACAAACTGTGCTGCTATAAACATAGGTGCACATATATCACTGTGGTATGATGCTTTCAGTTCTTCTGGGAATATACCTAGGAGTGGAATAGCTAGGTCAAATGGGACCTCCAATCCCAGTTTTTTGAGAAATCTCCAGACTGACTTCCACAGTGGTTGCACCAGTCTACACTCCCACCAACAATGCAGAAGAGTTCCTTTTTCCCCACAGCCTCTGCTGGTAGTTTTCTTGATCTTGGCCATTCTTTCTGAATTGAGACAGAATCTCAGTGTTGTTTTAATTTGCATTTTCCTAATAACCAATGATGACGAACATTTTTTCAAGTATTTATTTGTCATTTGTATTTCTTCATCTGAGAACTATGTATTCATCTGTGGTACCCATTTTTGGATTGGGTCTTTGAATTTCAGGGGTCTGATTTTTTAAATTTTTTATATGTTTTAGACAGAAGTCCTTTGTCGGAGGGATAGTTCACTAAGATTGTTTCCCAGTTTGTGGGTTTTCTTTTCACTATGCTGAAGATTTCTTTTGACATGCAGAAACTCTTTAATAAGATGTGATCCCAGTTATTGATTCTGGGAAATATTTTCCATGCAGTTTGATTCCTGTTCATGAATTCTCTAGCTACACCTATGTCTTCAATATTTTTACCTAATTTATTTTCCAACAGATTAAGTGTTTCTGTTTTAACATTCACATCTTTGATTCATTTAGATTTTACTTTAGTACATGAGGATAGGAATAGGTCTAGTTTTAGTTTTCAGCATATTGAGAGCCAGTTTTTCCAGCACCATTTATTAAAGAGACTGTTGGTCTTCCAGTGAATATGTTTGGCCCATTATCAAAGATAAGGTGGTTGAGTGTGTTTGTAGTTGTGGTTGTATCTTCTAATCTATTCTATTGATCTTTAGATCTCTTTTTAGTACAGTACCTTGTTGATTTTATTACAGTAGCTTTGTAGTGTAACTTCAAGTCAGGGATTGTGATGCCTCCTGCCTTGCCTTTGCTGCTTAGAATTGCCTTTGCCATTCTAAGCCTCTTCTGGTTCCAGATGAATTTTAGGGGTGATTTCTCTAGATCTATGAAGTATGTTGATGGTATTTTATTGGGATTGCATTGAATCCGTATAACAGTTTTGAGAGAATGGCCATTTTCACAATATTTATTCTTCCTGTCCATGAACAAGGGATGCCTTTCCATTTTCTGAGATCCTCTTCAATTTCTTTTTCAAGGTACAATAATTTTCCCTGTATAGATCTTTTACTCCTTTGTGAGATAAATTCCTAAGTATTTTATTTTTTTGGATTCTAGTGTGAAGGGTATGGCTTCTCTTATTTCTCTCTCAGTGATTTTGTTGTTAGTGTATAGGAATGCTATTGATTTTTCAGTATTGATTTTCTATCCAGCTACATTGCTGAATTTATTTATTATATCTAGGAGCATTTCAATGGACTTTGGGTGTCTTTTATGTAGAGTACCATGTCAT